GTAGAGAAAAGTCTGTCAAACAATAAAGAAAAAGACAGTTCTTTGGTTACCTAAAATATAAAATTTCAGTCTCTCAGAACAACCCACTAAAGTTAAAATGGCAAGGAAATATTTGCAGTATGTGATAAAGAGCTGTTATAAACCAATATGAAAAGCACAAACGCTTCTGTAGAAAGTAGACATTTTAGAAACATTATAAACATTCTTACACTATAATAATTATAAAAATTATAATTATAAAATAATTATAAAATGTAAAATAATTATAAAAATTAATAATTATAAAAATTATTATAGTTTAAGTGTAAGAAATGCAAATTAAATATTTCTATCAGATTTCCAGAGATAAAAATGATTCTCAGCATTGTGGAAGGTAAGTATTTACACGCATAAGACCACACTGCTGATAAGAACATGGCACTGTATTACCTTCTGCAGAATGGATATCAGTATCGAAAGCCTTAAAACGTTTATACCTTTGCCCCGGCAATTCCACTGATAGGATTATCTTCAGGAAGTAATTAAGAATCTTTGTCAAGATTTGACTACTAAGATGTATGTATTTGTGAGAAACTGGAAGTAATTTAAATGTTCAACTGCAAGGCATTCGTGCATCTATACAATAGATGATCTAGCCATTAAAACGATCACTATGAATGTTAGAAAATAATTGCTCTGTTATGTGAAAACAAATTATGAAATAGCGTACACATAGTGGAATCTGTTTTTCTTTTTAAAAAGCACAGAAAGTCTGGAAGGAGACCCATTAAGGTATTAGATTATGTGTTTTTTCCCTTACTAGGATAGCTTTATTGGGATATAATTCACATACTATGCAGTTCACCCCGTTACCAGGTACAATTCAGTGGTTTTTATTATATTCGCAGAGTCATGCAGTCGTCACCACAACCAACTTCAGAGCCTATTCATCTCCCCACAAAGAATCCCGGTGTCCGTTAGCAGTCACTTCCCACTCTCTCCCCTCAACCCCCATCCCTAGCTCTAGGCATTCACTGATCTATTTTACATCTCTAGATTTGCCCCTCCTGGACATTTCACGTAAATGCAATCCGACAACACGTGATCTTTTACCACAGGTTTCTTGTACTTAGCATAATGGTCTCAGAGTTCGTGCTGTAGCATGTCGTCAGGTTCCCGGGGTTTCTAGTTTTTAGGTCTCGTGAGTAATGCTGCTGTGAATATTCGTTTACAGGTTTTTATAGGGACACGTTTTCAGATCTCTTGGATATACGTCGAGGAGTAGTGGGATTGCTGGGTCACGTGGCTCTCCGTGTTTCGCCTTTTGGGGAATGACCAGATTGTTTCCGAAGGGGCCGTTCTGTGTTACGGTCCCACCAGCAGTGTACGCGGGGTCCAGTTGCTTCACGTTCTTGAGTTACTATCTGCTTGTTTGGTTATAGCCGTCCTAGTAGGTGTGAAGTGATGTCTCTGGTTCTGATTTGCCTTTCCCTAATGGTAACGGTGTTGAGCATATTTTCATATGCTTATAAACCATTTGCATCTCTCTCTTTAGAGAAACGTTTACTCAAATCTTTGCCCATTTTTTGCTTGGGTTGTTTGTCTTTTTATTATTGAATCGTATTTGTCTTTTTGTTATTGAATTGTTATTGAATTGTAAGAGTTCTTTATATATTCGCAATAAAAGTCACATATATATGATTTGCAAATATTTCCTCCCCTTTAGGTTGACTTTTCATTTTCTTGATGGTAACTTTTGAAGAACAAAAGTTTTTAATTTTTGATGAAATTTGATTTTTTTGTTGTTGCTTGTGCTTTTGGTGTCCTAAGAAGGCTGTGCCCAGGTCACGAAGATTTACTGCTGTATTTTCTTCTAGGAAAGGGTTCCCCAACCCCCGGGCCACGGACCGGTATTGGTCCATTAGGAACCAGGCTGCACGGCAGGAGGTGAGCAGTGGGCAAGCTAGCAAAGCTTCGTCTATGTTCGCAGCCGCTCCCCAGCGCTAGCATCACTGCCTCAGCTCTGCCTCAGATCACCAGGCATTAGATTCTCTTAGGAGCACCGGTGAACACCGGTGGAGACTGCTGTTCTAGGATTTTATAGTTTTAGCTCTTGCATTTAGATCTATGATTCATTTGGAATTATTTTTATCTGTACTATGAGGTAGGAGTCCAACTTCATTCTTTTACATGTGGACATCCAGTTGTCCCAGCTCCATTAGTTGAAAAGACTATTTTTACCCCCATTGAATTGTGTTAGCATTCTTGCTGAAAACCAACTGACTGTAAGTGTAAGAATTTATTTCTAGATATATGTTTATCCTTAGTGCAGTACCTTGCCGTGTTGATATTGTAAGTTTTGAAATTAGAAGGTGTGGGTCCTTCAACTTTGTTCTTTTTTCAAGATTGTTTTGGCTATTGTGGGTCGCTTGATTTTCCGTATGAATTTTAGGATCAATTTGTCGATTTCTGCAAACATCCTGGGGTGTGTGTGTGTGTGTGTGTGTGTTTTAAATAGACTTCATTTTTTGAAGCAGTTTTAGGTTCATAGCAAAATTGAGAGGAAGGTACAGAGGTTTCTCGTTTACACCCTGCCTCACAGACGCGCAGCCTTCCCCATTATCAAAGACCCGCCACCCCCCCCCCAGAGCAGTATGTTTGTTACACTGATGGCCACATCATTATCACCTGGAGTCTGTAGTATACACTCTTGTGTTGTACATCTTATGGGTTTGGACAAATGTGTAATGACATGGATCCGCCATTATAGTATGAGGTTATGTTTTAAAATTTCTTTCTGTTAGCTAAATCTTCTGATTATTCAAAAATAAACATGCTTTGCTAATGTAACTTTTTAATTAAAATATTGTTTTAAACTTTGTATGATTATGTATTTTTTTCCTTGAAGTTCGTGAAAATGATTGCTAGAAATATCTTATTGTCTTTAGCCTGACGGTATTTGAGTAAAAATAGAGAAAAAAGTATCCTCTTTTGCACATGGAGAAATTTAGAACAGAGGTTTTGTGACTTATATCAGTTTCATAGCCAGCAGTTGAATAAGAACTAAAATCAGGATTCAGTCACTGTTAGTTTAGGATACTAGAGTAGTGACCTTAAATTATGCAATGTCAGCACGTTCAGAAAGACAGTTAAAACATGCAGTTTTTAGAAATACATTTTCCATCGCAGATTTCAACTAAATTGAGCAACATAAAAAACCTCTTAAAGTGATGGTAAACAAACATGCAGGAGTAAAGTTTCAGTCCTCAACTCCAGAGTGAGACTCTCAGGAGGTGACATGCCAGCTGCTCTGTGTGCGGAAGGGTCCCGGTGATTCTGAGTCCAGTCTTAAAGCAGCTCGGTGATAACTCCTGAGGGAAGTTCGCATTTTGCCAACTGTCGACTCCCTTAATAGCCTAACCTTTAATCAAGTCTTGAAATGTTCTGCTGTTTTGTCTGATTCTATTTCTTTTTTCCATTTCATGTTTGTATAATTGGAGCTAGAGAATGTGTTGGAGAAAACATGACTCTTGAATGTATTTAAGCAGTAGAAATAAACATTTTATTTATAGAGCAGATTTAGTTCATACTTTAAGCATTTTAATCTGAATCATTACCCTCTGTCCCAGTGTATTTATTTACTGGCATTATCGACAAAGGGCTATTTTGGCTGGATAGATGTTTTAGAATTTTTGTTGGATTAATCAAAATCTAGTAAAGCACTCCTAATTTTTTTTTTTTCTTTTTACAGAAAAGTCTCTTAAGTTATGTGTCACCAAAGAGATGCTCCTTCTTAGTATTACAACTGCTTATACAGGTAATGTGGTTATTTAAGTACCGGTTCGGTTTTTTGTAGATGCATGACAATAGGGGCCCCAAAACTCTTGGTTATTTCTCACAGTTCTGTGTATTGCCTGGGCTCAGCTGAATGGTGTTTCTGATGGTCTCAGTGGGGGACTATTGTGAGTGCTGAGGGCCACTGGGGCCGGAATTTCCAAAATCATTTCCTCAGCGCTTGTGCTGGGGTCAGATGCCAGGCTGGGTCTCTATCTCCCCAGGTCATCTCGGGCCAGCTGCTCGACCCCCTCCCACGTGATTTCTCCTCCCGACCCAGCAGGACAGCCAGACGTCTTAGTGGCTGTGGGCTCCGGAGAAGGGCAAAAGGAGAAACAACCAGATCTTAAACCTTAGCCTGGCACTGGCTCAGCGTGACTTCCACTGCATTTTGTGGTGACAGCAAATCTAGGGGCCAGCCCAAACTCAGTGTGGGAGGGTTCTACATGGGGGCTTATGATGTTAGGGCAAAATGGAGCACTGTGGAAAATAAGCATGGGTAAATCTTTGTAATTTTTGTATGGGCTAAGATAATTTCTAGAAAAAGCAATGATCTCTGTGGCTTGCCGCTGGTCACGTGATCAGTGGGATGCTGTTGGAGCACCTTAGGTCTGGAGAATGAGGAGGAAATCCGTTACCTTTTCAAGGTGCTATAATATGCCACTCATTGCTTTTGTCTTCGTAGGCCTCATAGGCATAAACTCCTTTTTAGGAGAAATAGAATAAATATTAAACATTTTTTTTTTTAATTTTCATAATTTATTTGAGCCAAACTGACAACATATGCCAGGGAGCAAGATTTCAAATGCTCCTATTAAACATTTTTAAAATTCGGTTAAAGTTTCTGACGTTAAGGAATCAGGTCTTATACTGATTTGCCCTAATTTTTACCCTAAGTTTTTGAATTTCTTTTCTTGGGAAAAAGGGTTTAATTAAAATGTTATCGTGCCTTTAAGCAAAAGTGGATAGTATGTACGTACTGGTTTTCCAAACATACGTTCCTAGTCCCTTTGAAAGCTATTAACAGTAATGAACACTTTCTTATTCATCATTACAGATTTATGTTAATTATTATGTCTATCCTGTCTACACACAGAGTGACCATTTTTAATATAAGGATGTCTTTGCTTATTTAAGTTGTATATTTTTATCTGAAATATGCGATAACTGCCATCTTGTGGCTAATTTCATTTCATCAGTTATGTAGTGTGAACTTATGCTGTGCTTGGGAGTAACATTTCAGCCTGAGTGAATTTTGTTTTATATGTATATAGCTCAAATATTATTAGACATGAAGAAAAACTAGGGAAGGGAGAATACGAATGCGTAATTCAGTCTGATTTTTTTCTACAGGTCTGGAATTGACCTTCTTCTCTGGAGTATATGGGACCTGTATTGGCGCCGTAAATAAATTTGGAACAGAGGAGAAGAGCCTCATTGGACTCTCTGGCATTTTTATCGGCATTGGAGAAATTTTAGGTCGGTTTGAAAAAATGTTTGTGCGTTAGGTTCGTTTATTATAGTTATAATAGAAGTTTTAAGTGGAACCACACAGTATGTGGTCTCTTGTGTCTGGCCTCTTTCACTTAGCCGATTTTGTTTCATTGTATGGACAGACCACACGTTATCCATTCACCGTTTGACGGACATTTGGGTTTTGGGGTTATGAATAGCGCCGCTGTGAACACCTGTACAGTTTTTATGTGCCCGTCAGTTTTCCTTTCTCTTGGGTAGCTAGATGCCAAGGACTCGAATTGCTGGGTCACGTGATAATTCTGTGTTTGACTGGTTTTTGTCCTCGTGGTGGGTCCTGTTTTCCTGCTGCTTTGCATGCCTGGTAATACTGCGGATACCAGCCGTCGTGACCTTCACCTTGTCGGGTGCTGGATGGTTTTGTCGTACTACACACATTCCTGAGCTTTGTTCTTGGACGTAGTTCGTTTACTTGGAAACTGATTCTTTCAGGTTGTCTTTCAAAAATTTGTCGGGCAGGACGGGAGCCATGCTCAAACGGGCTGATTATCCTCCCTCCTCAGGGAAGACCCTGCTGGGTGCACCCAGTGCCGTGAACTGTCAGATTTCCAGTCTTGCTGGTGGTTCAGATGCTATTGCCAGCCCAGGGCCAGGCACCAATGCGGCTAACGGCGCGTTCCCGGGCCTCTGCTAATTGATTCACACTACGTGCTGATCGGCACTCGGCGAGGACGCGGGGGCAGCCTCTGCAGGTCTCCGGAATTGTCCCCCTATGCAGCTCTCCTTTCTGGGAACTCCAGCTGCCGGGTCTCCCCAGACTCCCAGCTCTGTCTCCTCAACTCAGGAAGGCGTCGGGGCTCCGCTTGCCTTCTGGTCCTTCGCTGCAGCCTCTCCTCAGATGTCACAGGGACAGCTGCAGGGCTCACCTCCTTTGTTTCCTGCCTCTCAGAGATCACTGTCCTCTGTTGCCTGATAAGCCCGTGTCCTCAAACCCATCGCTTCATATTTTTTTGTCCTTTTTTTAAGGCAGGGGTCAATCCAGTCCCTGTTGCTCCATCTTCCCGAGAAGTCTGTTCTGACTTTTAAAATTTCTTCTGTTTCAATAGTTTTTTCTTATTTTGTATATTTGTGTGTTTTTTGATTAAATTAGCTATTGTTTTGTCCGTTTGATTTGTTTTTCAGAGAATCATGATTTTGATTTATTAACTCAATCTTGGGTTTTTCTGTTCTCTGCTTGATTGATTTTACAGGTGGAAGCCTCTTTGGCCTGCTGAGCAAGAATAATCGTTTTGGTAGAAATCCGGTTGTGCTTTTGGGCATCCTGGTGCATTTTATAGCTTTTTATTTAATATTTCTCAACATGCCTGGGGACGCCCCTATCGCTCCCATTGAGGGAACCGATAGCAGAGCTTACATCAAACCCAGGTACAGTGACTGTCATTTTTCTAGTAATTTAAGGAAGGGCGAGAGATAGGATGGCTGGATATTCAAAATGGAGTAGTTCATTTTTTTGTCTGAAAGTCTGCTCTCTGTATAAGGCCATCTGCCAAGTGTGAATGGAGCCAGAATGAGTTTAAACAGGCAGCCGTAGAGAATCTCGTTATTTTTGTAATTGTTGGTTTTAACCTTTCTCCCTACTAAATCTTTTTCTTGATCTATGAAGGAGCACAGAAATATCTGATTGGAGTTTTGTATCTCTGCTTTCGTGAGCAATGAAATCTCTAGGACTTAGAGCCTCAAGATAAAACAGCAAGGAGCAAGGGACAATGTGCCAGCTGGGCAGGCCGGCCAGTCCTTTCCCGGCCATTACTATAAGTTTGGAGAATTTTGTTTCATTGCACCCAACTCTCAAATTCATTATCGATGCAGATATTTCTGTCTGGGTCCGCAATGTGAGGGCCACTCTGATAGTTAATAGCCCAGCGTTGGCGAGACGGAGGGTGAGCGGCTCGTCAAGCAGAGTCTTCCTGTCAGTTCCAGTATTTATTCTTGTTCCGTAGAGTTGAAAACTTGAAAGTAAAATGCTTTTGTGGGTGTGTTGCTTTTACATTTTAAATGGGCTCTAGCAAATATTGTTAACACTCATTCTAAATTTATTTTATTCAGCAAAGAAATTGCCATCTTCTGCAGTTTCCTGCTGGGTCTTGGAGACAGCTGCTTCAATACGCAGCTGCTCAGCATTCTGGGGCTTCTGTATTCTGAGGACAGCGCGCCCGCTTTCGCAGTCTTTAAGTTCGTCCAGGTAGCGTGGTCTTTACATCGCGGGTCCCTTTCTTTCTTTAATTTTGTTTTCTTAATGTTCCTTAAATGAAAGGCAGGAGCCTCCTTTCAAAGGATTTGTGAGTAGAATTTGGAAGCGGTGAGCAGTGTGACCCCAGACCCTCCCACCCTGTGTTAGAGATTTTCCTTCTGGTGTCCTCGGCTCAGGTTAGGGACGTCCTTAGGTGCCTGAGTTGAGTTCATTCGTAGTGCAGACAGTTCTCGCTGTGCATGCACATTGTTTTATGCCCAGTCTCCCACAATATGCTATTTTAAATAAGAGGTTGTGGCTTACTTGATTGTCACTAGCTCTCGACGGGATTTTATGGTACGCGTTTGTCGTGCACGTGTGAGTGTGAGCTAGTGACACATGAGTGCCGTCTGGATGCAGAAAGAGCCGAGGGCACAGCCAGTCACAGCGCGCGGGGGGCTAACTGGGGAGCCTGGGCCACCTGTGTGCATTTCGTGATTTGTTTTCTTTGTCCCCAGTCCATTTGTGCGGCCGTGGCGTTTTTCTACAGTAACTACCTTCTCCTCCACTGGCAACTCCTGGTCATGGTGATATTTGGGTTTTTTGGAACGGTTTCGTTCTTCGCCGTGGAGTGGGAAGCCGCCGCCATCGTCGCCCGGGGCTCTGACTACCGAAGTATTTGATCCTGGAAGCCGGTGCCTCTTCAGACAGCAGCTGAGTGACAGGGCTTGGTCGGAGAAGCCACCTTTCATTTTCACAATATATTGGATGATATTTAGTATGGGAAAAATCAAAGAATTAAGAGTGCCGAGTCTGCTGGAGTCGGTGCTCACGTTTACAGATACTAGCTATTTAAAACAAGTGGAATAAGGAAATGTGTTGTCGGTCGTAACTGTTCAAAGATATTTTTCAAATCATCTCTCTCGAGTTCCTTATAATCATGTTATGGAATGTAAATGTCCTCTCCCTCCTGTTTCTTTGAAAGAATCTTACCTCCATTCAAAATACTAGGCCATGTGTCACATGAGGCTTCTTGCTGGGTATTGAGTATGTGTTACTATGTAATAATAGGGAGCATATGGCACTCCACATTATGTGTCTGGAAATGACATTTAAATAAATCATGAGATGCTGAAATGGAATCTTATCTTTTAAAAGATTTGCACTTTATTTTTCTTTAAATGTATGGTTTGATAAGTTTTCTTACCTTGCAGTTTATAGCAAGGACTGCCTCATAAAATATTGTAAAATGATGTAAAAATTGTCTGAAGTCTTGAAAACAGGAATTTGTGAATGAGCAAAAAACACATAAGAAAGCAAGCATATTTACTGGAGGAGGAGTTTTCCTAGTAATTTTCCTGGAAAACGTGATGCAAA